CACCTTGAGGTTGTGTATTTGTAAAAGAAAGCAGAAATTACAATAATAAGCCAAGAACTGAGTCAAGTTTCTATTTATGTGAGATCTTATGTGCATGACAATCATACAGAGGAAATGAATCCATGCGTGAGAGTGTTTCTGCATGAACAGCTCTTTATGTGCTTGTGGGCCTGTGTATAAATGAACTAATCCATGAATACACTTCCATTCAAAAGTTTGCAGTAGGTATGTTTTTTTTTTCTGAAAAGGAAGATATTAAAGGGGTCATATGATGCTGCTAAAAAGAACATTATTTGGTGTATTTGGTGTAATGAAAAGTGTTTATGCGGTTTAAGGTTAAAAAAACACATTATTTTCCACATACTGTACATTATTGTTTCTCCTCTATGCCCCGCCTTTCTGAAACGCGTCGATTTTTACAAAGCTCATCGGTCTGAAAAAGCGAGGTGTGCTCTGATTGGCCAGCTATCCAGTGCGTTGTGATTGGCCGAATGCCTCAAGCGTGTGACGGAAATGTTACGCCCCTTACCATATTGTGATGCCTGCGGCAACCACATGTGACGACCCCGGGCTGGACTCCGCTTCGTCCACGGTGAAAGCCGATCCGGCGATCAACAGCGCGAAGTTGAAGTATTTCCTCAGCGACCAGCACGGATCAGCTTTAGGCATGACGAAGCGATATCGTCCTCTTTTGGGATATCGTCCTCTTTTGGGGACTCTTCAAAGTAGTTTCGCTTTCACAACGAAGCACACAGCGCCTTTACGACATGGCGGCGGCAACAACAATACTACAGTGAGAATAAAAGTTACGCCTTCATTCTTTGCGTGAACATTTGGGCAGCGTTATGCAAATCTTCCCACACAGTGACGTAGACATGTGGGGGCGTGTTAGAACGAGCCGTTTTAGGTAGGCGTGGTTAACTCTTAACTTTCATAAAGAATATCTCTTTGGATTTGAGACTTTAGTCTTTGCAACTTTACAGATCTTCTTTATGCACCAAGAGCTTGTAACACTCCAAAGAGAAAGGAAAAATTGAAATCGCATCATATGACCAATTTAATACTTTTTTTCACCAAAGATGCAGTAAATTAACAAAAAGTTACAGCAAAGAGATTTATAATGTCACAAAAGATTTATATTTCAAATAAATGCTGAATTTTGCACTTTCTATTCATCAAATAATGTATTTATCACAGTATTCAACAAATAATAAGCAGCACAACTATTTTTAACATCAGTTATAATAAGAAATGTTTCTTGAGCACCAAACCAGCATATTATTGATTTCTGAAAGATCATGTGACACTGACTGAAGACTGGAGTAATGGCTGAAAATTCAGCTTTGCCGTCACAGGAATAAATTACATTTTAAAATATATTAAAATAAAAAACAATTATTTACTATTTTTTACTGTAAAAAATACAGTAAAAAATATTATACATTTTGTCATAATAAATGAAGCCTGGGCGAGCATAATAAAATTCATTTAAAAACAACATTTTCAAACAGTAGTGTATACTTGCAGTTTTCCCTTTTTATCCATTTTTGTTTTGCAGAGAAAAAGATTGGATGCATTTCTTACTGAAATTGTGCATCTCTCAACTTTCATATACATAATGCTATCAGAACAAAGTCTTTATATGATAAAAAGGCCATCTTTAATACAAATAGTTCATTCAAAAATGAAAATGATGTCAATATCTACTCACCTTCTTGTCAATCGAAACCTATATGCTGTATTATTTCCAAGGGACAAGAAAATAAATATTTTGAAGAATCTTTACACAGCTCTTTGTCATAAAAAAACAAAAAAAACATCAAGCTCCACCATTAAAGTTGTTCATATGACACATGCATAAGTCTTCTGAAGCCATATTCATTTTTGGCTTTAAGTCTCCAATAAGTTCACTGAAGTAGAGTTTAAAAATATAAACAGAACCTTAATTCTGCATTAAAAAAAAATAAATAAAAAGAGTTTTTGCTATTTAATCTCTGTTTTGATTGGATTCATATCAACTGTAATAAAAGCAATTATAATCATAACGAACAGCCATTTCTTTTTAATGATGAGTCACTGCCTGGGTGAGAACAGGATTATCCATGCTCTCCTTTCATCTCTAGACCTTATATCATTTCTTCTGGCTGAGCGAAACTCTGCTTCTCCTATGAACGAGCAGGCAATCTCTTTTAAAAATATGTCGTCGCTGTCCGTGACAGACAGCTGAATGGTGTGAAGATGTCATAACAAGTCAAGAAGGGCAGACAGAGACTGACTTGCACAGAAGACATACAGTAACAGGGATGAGAGTAACATATGTGCTGTATCTGTTTCATGCATGAATTGGCAGAACAACAGTAAAGCACTTGTCATTGGCAGCATCTGTCTCGCAATAAAAATAATCCATGAACTTTAGGTCCATGGACCATTGTGACACTGTTCATACCATGAAAAAAATAATTATTTGTTTTAAACCTATGCAGCATCAGTTGTCTTTGTAAAGGTCGGTGATTACCTCTTGCAGTGAGAGGTTGTTGAATAGACAGTGGAATAAACTATTAGCCTAAATGTCTGATCGGTTTAAGCTATATCATGACAAATGCTCTGAGGGAATAGAAACAAAGCTCCAGGCTTTTCATTATAGTTTTCATTTTTTACAAGACATTGAAAAATAACATTATTCCCTTTTACTTCACTTCTTGCTTTCTTTATTATTAGTTTTCAGACCCACTAGTTAGTTCTAACTAGGACTAATAAATTAATCTTTGCATTAGTAACCCAGATCTTTCACTGGAAGGCTTTGGTGAACTGTTGTATAATTGGTGCATCTTTCACCACTCGATAGTGCCAGGTACTGATTAGAATATTAAAGAACAGTGAACCTTTCATACATATAACAACAAGAGCTGGTTACATTAGGAAAGGCACTCCTATAAAGATAAAGAACAACTTCTAGAGAAAATACTGAAACAATTACGCCCTTGTATTTACATTGAAAACATACTGAATGGGGACAACGCTCGCATCTTTTTATTATGCTGATTACGACGCACTACGTCGGACTTGGGTTGATGCCCAGTTATGTGACATATAAACGTGGCCTGGCTCTCAATGTAAACCTTGGCTGCATCCTAAATTGCACGAATGAGTAAAGCAACACAACGGTGGTAGGTCAACATGACAGATGTAGTACATCCGGATTACATTCATACTATATAAAACATACTTTTTTAATGGTTGTGAAGTAAATAGCCTTCTTATTCACAAGAAGTATGTCTTCAGAGTATGTGATTCTGGACGCATGCCCTTGGGTTTTTTTAGGGATCAAAGGCCAAGTGATATAACAAATCAGAAATAAATGTAATACAATTACTGCAAAAGGTTTAGCCTACACCAATAAAGTTTAATCTAAAATCTAGATTAAATCAAGTTTTATCTATATCTATTATTATCAAACTTTAAACCTGGTTTGAAAATAAGCAGGATAAACCCGTAGTAAACTTGCGTCTGCTATCGAGTCCGGGATGTGAATCCGTCACTCATCTCGGTGCATCTCGGCGTACGACAAAGAAAACAGAAATATACTGTATAGCATTTAACTGCAGCGGTGATGATGAAGTGAGCGCCAATGATCGCAGCCACGCCTCTCGTTTCTCACGCCCGCTCCACGCGTGGCTGCTGGGCGGCGGTGTCATAAAATATACTCCATTAATTGATACTATAAATATATTTCCAGGATTATGAAATCCGTATGCACTGCCAGAAATGTGTTCATTGCTTGCTTGATCAGCCGTTTGAATAACGGTAGCAGTTTATTAAGACGGCAGATATTTTACAAGTTTATTTCCTTTTTTGACACGAGCAACTTATGTCAGAAAGAGAGTTTGGTAGTAAGCAAAGAAAGAAAAAAAAGGAATATTAGCATTGTTCCTGTTTAATTGCAATGGCGAATCCATCATGGAGGAGAAAATTAATCGTAGATGGAGGTTTTAATCGCAGGTTAGAGTTCTAATCCCTGATTTGTTAATCTGTGTTTAAAATTAAGTGGTACAACACAACTCGATTTACAATAAAACCCAGATCAACAAATCCTTGATTAGCTCTAAACTTTACTTAAATTAATCCTTGTTGGTGCAACCCACCCGGTTTAAAATAGTTTCATAGATATTTAAAAGGTGGCAAGTCTTTCCTAACTATATATCACATTCAAATACTAAAACAACAGAATTTCATTCATTCATTTTAATAGTACCACTGTTTAAGTACCACTGTTTACAGAACAAGCAAGATTTATTTAGTACCAACCGTTCAGACTGATTCAAAATTGTTTTTGATTCAAAAAGAATTACTGATAAATTAATTAAAAAGACGTTTGCTTTGATTCACTAAGAAGAACCGACTGACAAGAGTTAGTTCAGTAATGGGATTGTTCGCTGTGTTTTGGGATGTAGCTACAGAGATGATTTTGTTGAGTGTATTTTATTACAGTTGTTTATTACAGTCTGCATGGACAGAAGAAAGCAAAATCCGTTTTTTTTATAAAGTCTAGGTTTCCATCTCTAATGTGTTCAAGACGCCGTGTTTATAATGTCAGCCGCCAAAGTATGACCCAGGAACATGACTGGAGCACCCTGCAACGTAATTCCGCTACTGAAGCAGCAAAAACTGAAGGCAGAGCATCTCGACAGCTCATAACATCTCGACACAGGTTTAATGCACTCATGAAGGAATATAAAGCGTGATGAAGACTGAATGGACGGTTGCGCCCTCCGTTATCTTATAATAGCGCAAGAAAACATTTGAAAACACTCCGTCCGACCTAACAATCATCGCTCACACACAATTTCTCACACCACATCACCTTCTGTGTGCTTATCAAAAGAAAACTGAGTCCCTTTTCCTCAATGTTTCCTTCCAAGCGTTTAACTATGTAACGTTACTACCACACGACTGGACAGCAAACATCACCAGCTTTTAAAAATGCAGCAGGGATCACTTACGTTTCAGTCACCGATATGCTCCATGATTCTAAGGCAGTATGCAGAGCAGACCAGTGTTCTGATACACGGCGATTCTTCCTCTTGCTCTGCATTCTGGACTCGCCCTGACGTGACGTCAACCGCGCATTACGTCAGCGTTGTTGCTCTAAAAGCACCGCCTCGTCACAGATCGCGGGAGTCAGAGAGCATGCATTGTCCTCGGAAGATTTGAAAAAAAAGAAGTGTATTTTAATTTGTTTATTCGTCTGCCTGTATTAAAGAACGTCTCATGAAAATGTTTTCGATGCATGATTTACAGACATAAACGAGCGCGTGACAGGTGCGATAACGGAAGACCTTGACTGCCATCTAGTGGTTGCAGCCTAAAGCACTTCTACATAATCAAATGCAGGTGGATGAAGTGAAATATATATTCTGTAAACCCGTACTACTGTATCTTATTCCATTCTGTAGCACCTGCCATAATAACATAGGAATTATAACATGCACGAGTTTGAATAAAGGTGAAATGAGCTATATTTAGATTTTTGTAATTAGTAATAAATCCATATACTGGAGAAAAAAAAATAGTATTTTTTTTCCAGTATATGGATAACATTACAAAAATAAAATGATAAAATAATTGTATTATTATTCTTACTACTTTAAAACCAATAAAACCTTAAATTAGCACGGGATCATAGAAAAAGGGGCTTTCATTTGCATTAACATTTTACATTTATTCATTTAGCAGAAGCTTTTATCCAAAGCGACATACAAATGAGGACAATAGAAGAGTCTCTCTCTCTCTCTCTCTCTATATATATATCACACACACACACACATATGTATGCTCGTCAAACTACACCGTAGGAGTTTTACTTCAGAAGTGTTTGTTATGGCAGAGAGGAACAGGTTATCTCCATTTTACACAAAAAAAAAATATATATATTTTCTGAGAACTAGAGGAAGCGAAACTATTTCAAAGGCAAGGACAGACAAATCAGGTGTGGCATTGGTCGTCAACCGGCCCTCATCTGACCACACACACCTGCTCACTGAGACAGAGAGCCAAAACTCAGTCACGAGTGTGCGACGATCAGTATGTTTTAGGGACGTAGATGAAGGGAACAGTTTTAAAATGTACTTTTAATTCTTCACATATTTTCTGTATTTTTTATATGTCAGCTTATATGCATGTATTTTGAGAAAATATGGTGCTTAATTTTAAAGAGAGGTCGCCTTTCAACTTTTTGATTTGCGTAATTTGCATTGCATCTCTTGGATACGGAGCAAACGTCGATGTTCCTTTTAAACCTACTACTACTTCTCCATCTAAACTTCTTCCTTGGAGCCCGATGGAGGAGACTGATCCTGACCCCGACCCAGGTGAAACCACCCAAGCGGTGTTTACACTGAACTACCCCCGCATTCAGCTCCCGTTTGAGATTACGTTATGGGTGCTACTTGCATCCTTTGCCAAAATAGGTGAGCGATTACACATTCTATGGCAAGCTGTTTTAACATATATTCTTTAGACCACCTACTAGTGACTTTGATGTTACTAGTATACTTATTTATTTTAATTACTAAGTACAGTACTGACTCTATTCCAGTTTTACTAGCGGCCTACGTATTTATCAGATACTAGCCTATTTGTTTGGGAAACACTAAGCACTATGCAACATTTCTTATATTAATTTTCAATAGATTTTTTTACTTAGCTATATGACATGGCTAGTCAGAAAGGCAACTTTATTCTATAGTTAATTTAGAATCTTAATGAGATGTTAAAAAAGGGTAAAAAGGTATAAAAAAAAAGTTACTAGAATATAAAATGTAAGAAATAGATTCAGTAAATTAGATTTAAGGATGAATGAATAGGGTGTCACGTGTGGCTATGGAAAGCACACAACGCAGGAGTAGAAATAAACAAAATCCTTTTAATAATAAATCCACAGGCAGGAGAAACACAGGAGACAAACACAATATCAACATCAATACTGGAACTAAGGAGCTAGGGCAAAACACAGGGCTTAAATACTAGAAGAGGTAATTAGGGAGAACTGAAACAGGTGTGGCGCTAATAAATCAAAAACCATGGAAAATAATAGACAAGGGAACTCAGGGAAATGTGGAGACAGAGGGTGCGTCTCAATCAGCTCTCTTGTTCAGTAGTAAGGGCACTGATCAGGGAGTCGGCCATTTTAAGGGCTGTCTCAATCGCGAAATCCTTCCAGTGCACTGGAACGTTCGCTCCCTGAAAAATCCCACAATGCACTGCAAAAACTAGGGAGCATAGGCGCTCACTATGCTCCCTTACCGGAAATAATGTCACATTTCTGAAGCACGAAACATAAACTACACGAGCCAACTCGATAAATATAATGACTCGTGATAGAAGATTTGAAAAGACAAACCGCTTTTTAGTGTATTTCAACATAAACACACATCGCTAGACAGGAATTGAACACATCTAATTAACATTTATAATTAATATTCGGCTGAAATGTTGTAAGAACTTGTACCAGAACTATGTGTTTAAAGAGAATAAAAAATAAATATCAAAAAGAGATCGGTCCTGTCTGTTGTTTATTAATTCCAGTGATGACGTTCTACTATGTTGTCCGTTGACGTTGTACGTAATCATGTCACTGGAATTTGAGTGATCACTGTCCCAACGTGCAGCGAGTCAGGGAACTTACCAGTGCTCGAATTCATGTACACGATCTACTGGTCCACGAGCTCGGGAGCTGATTGAGACACACCCAGAAACAGAACATAACTGTGAAAGTTCGCCCCCCTCCCGGAAGGCGCGTCCTCACGCCTATAAACAGTCCAACAGAGGAGGGAGGGTGGGGGTTCGGGAGGCAGGTGTGGGGCAGGCAATGGGAAAGGGGCATAGTTCATAGGGCCAGGGCAGAGTAGACCGAGGAGCTAGGGAGGAGCCAGGAGCAGGAGGAGCCATGGTGGAAAAGGCCTTGACGATACCCTGGGGACGACTGACGGAGAGGGAGCAGATGGAAGAGGAGTGCAGGATGAAGCAGAGCAGATGGAGAGCCAGGGCGACACAGAGGATCCGGAGGGCCAAGGTGGAGCCAAAGGCTCAGGCGACCGATGCGGGGATCCGGAAGACTGCAGCGGAACCGGAGCGACTGAGGACAAAGGTGGAGCCAAAGGGAAGGAGGAGCCTGACAGAGCCGTAGGGACGGAGTGACGAGGCGAAGCCAGAGGAGTGGAGACCCGAGGTGGCGGATGGTCGACGACTGACCGAGGCGGAGCCGGAGGGACGAGAGAGCCCGGTGGAGCCAGTGGGATGACGGGCCAAGGTGGAAACGAGGGAGCTAGGAGCCAAGGCGGAGCCGATGGGTCGAAGGACTGACGTGGAGTCCAGGACTCAGAGGCTAGAGGCGGAGACAGGGGATCCTCACGCCTAGGCGGAGCTGGAGACTGGAAGTCCCGAGGCAGATCAGAGCGCCCAGATGGTGCTGACTGAGGGTCTGAATCGCAGCGAAACCCTCTTTTGGACCGTTCGCTGGCAGGCGTGCCTTACACCGCTCGTTTAGGCTTGTGTAGTAAAAGACGCAAAGCGAGCGGTCAAGGAAGTGAGTAAGGCACACCAGATCTAAAAAGTCCCTGGTGTGGTCCTCCAGCAAATGGTCCTTCTGCTCCAGGCAAAGGAGTTGGACGGCTGGTAAATCCATCCGGGAGAGGAGAAAAACAAAAACAAAAGAAAGAAAAACACCGCAGTAATAACTTGGAGTTCTGGTATTCTGTAAATTGTAGCTATGGAAAGCACACAACACAGGAGTAGAAATAAACAAAGTCCTTTTAATAATAAATCCACAGGCAGGAGAAACGCAGGAGACAAACACAATATCAACATCAATACCGGAACTAAGGAGCTAGGGCAAAACACAGGGCTTAAATTCTAGAAAAGGTAATTAGGGAGAACTGAAACAGGTGTGGAGCTGAATCAAAATCCATGGAAACTAATAGACAAAGGAACTCGGGGAAATGTGGAGACAGAAACAGAACCAAAAGAGAACATAACTGTGACATAGGGTACTTATAAAACATTTTCCCCTTTTTAACCACTTGCACACACACACACACTGACACACACACACACACACACACA